CCAAGCCCGGATAAAGGAGGAGGGTGGGCATGGGGTTAGCGACCCCATCCCATAGAAAACTAACTCGCTAAAAAAACGCTAACCAGAAAAAGATAACATTCACTGCCACTTTTGGCTAATTCTTGTACAAATGTTGTTTTCTATTTTATGGTGTGATGTGATCTGTTTGGTTTGTATATAAACCTAATATGTTTGAAATACATGATTCATATTGCGGAGGATGAGATTGATGTTCTGGACTCAACAATCAAGAAGAAGTGATAAGGACTTTAGACTGCTCATATTGAGTTTATGTGTTAATGATCCGGTCGATATGTCACTGTTCTCTAATTGACGATATTATTAGATTATATACTCGTAGGACACAATATCACAAGTTATAACAGAATAATTAAATTACATTTTGCTAACTTTCAAATTGGTTTTTTCATACAAATTTACGGTTGCACTTACTATCATTAAACAATTTACTGTATATTTTTGAGTATACCATTTTACTAACACCGTACAAATTAACTTTCAAATAGACTACTATGTGTACATTATAACTGAGATCCAGATTATATAGAATTTTCACTGAGTCAGTGGTTTAGATGTTAAGCGAGATGAAATATCTTGAGTACTATCCTCGAATGCTGAGACGTGTATATCCATTGCTGAATAGCCTCATACTAGAATGAAACAAGCATTCAACGCTTTCAAGTTTTCAATAGCAGTCTAGTTCATGTCACTTAATGATTTAAACTGTGAAAACTTTACAATCTCTACAAATCCTCTTTCACTAGTTATGTAGGATTTTCAAATGATATCTTCTTTAAAAAAAAAGGTTTTTAACTGAAGTTTACATACTAGACCAAATCTAGAACTTTCAGGTTATTTAACTAGTATGCTACCATTATATCATTCAGTAAGAACAAACTTGTTTATTCTTTCCAATTACAATCAACGTATTATTCTGGTCTAATGTCAATTATTACTTGTTAGTTCTTGCTTTGTAAATGATTAATCATGTACTTCAACACTTACAGTTAAAAATTTAAAGAATTTGTTTCGAACTTACTTAATTACTTACGCCTGTTACCCCCCCCCCCCAATGGAGCATAGGCTGCCGACCAACATTCTCCAACTCACTTTGTCCTGGGCCTTCCTTTCCAGTTCAATCCAATTCTTCTTCATTTTTCTCATGTAAATCTCCATTTTCTGACGTAATATGTTCTTTGATCTTCCTCTCCTCCTCCTCTGGCCTTAAGGATTCCATGTGAGGGCTTGTCTTGTGACGCATTTCGGTGTTTTCCTCAATGTGTGTCTTATACACTTCCAGCACTTCTTCCTGATTTCTTCCTCTACTGTGATCTAGTTTGTTCTCTCCCATTGTAGATTGTTGCTGATAGTGTCTGGTCAATGGATCCGAAGTATGTTGCGTAGACAACTGTTATTAATAAACACCTGTATCTTCTGGATAATGGCTTTCGTAGTTTTCCAGGTTTCGGCCCTATACAGTAGAACTATCTTGACATTTATATTGAAAATATCAATCTAAATATTTATGATAAATGAACCTATTAATTAGTAAATGTTCAATGAATCAAGAAATTTTATTTATGAAATCAGTAAACAAATTATTGATTTTCAATGCTTCAATGTAAAATACCAGAAATGTCTAATCATTTAAAACAACAACAACAACAACAAATTAGTTGAAATGTTTACTTAACGTCACTATAAATTTGTCAATAGTTTTCAATAGAGACGGAAAATAATTGATTAAGATCTTGAAACGAATAATGTTAGACCATCATTAAAAACCTAAAAGCATTGGACGGTCATTTCATCCTATTGTTGGACTTAACAGCACTGCTCATCCACGATCCCGTTCTCCCGAGAGATTCGAACTCAGGGTTTTCAAGTCTCGGTTACAGTGGAGTTTATCATTGTTTTTAACTTATAAACTGAATAGGATATTTGAAATGTAAGTTAGTTATATTTGACATGTATATTGAATTAGTGATCTTCAGTGTATAGCTATAATAATGTTGGAACTGTTCTTATCAAAAATCTACTTATGTTTTATTGTTATAAATTCACTAACTAAGATAAGTGATACACAGAAGTTGCGACTGATTCAGTCGGTCCAGTATATAGATAAAGTTATATGGATTTTAAAATATGGAAATCGAGAATTCACTCTTTCCTGTAATCGTGTATTTATATTTACATATAAGAATACTAATGTGTGTGTGTGCAAGTCAGTCAGTCAGCTGCAACGTAGGACCAGGCACATATTTGCATCGGTCCAAGTTGTCATACCGCATTAGCACAACAAGATGAACATCCGATTCATGGAAGTAGTCACATCAAAGGTAGTAGTATATAAAAGAAAGATTGTGTATAAGGATATAATACAGGAAGAAGGAATTAGTTCGTAGAAAGAAAGACATACAGCAATTTTAATCTCTTAGTTTAAAGCAAGACAGGGAGTGTATACACCGACACCATTGTGATCGATTCTGAGCCATGTCACCCACAGTCTCCAACCATTGGTTACGATAGTCATGAGGAGCCCAACCAGGTAGTCTGGAACTAGCAACATGGCTCAAACCAGATGCGTGTGGAAGGGCTCTCGTCTTTGCAAAAGTGGGAACAAATGATCGTTTAATGTAGTGCTGACATTACAGCATTGGAGCTAATTATAACAAAAGTCATAGCAAATTCAACCAAACTTTATCCACAAAAAGTTATGCAGTTGATTTACCATGTGTAGACTAGGATATCCAAGTTACTTTAAGTTAATCTCTACGGTTTAAAATTTGAAAAAAACAAAATTAAGCTTGTTAACTACTGATTTACTTGATTTCAATTCAACTACAATATATGTGATTCATTTCTATTAAGATTTAAAACCAAGAAACATTTCAATGGTTAAGATCATGAGTCAATTGAAGCTAGACCACCACCATGGAAAACCTGGAAGCACAAAACCCCTTCTAATATTAATCAACATATGCTCACTAGTAACTGGCTTCAAGAGGTTTATCCTGGAGTTCGAGTGAGAAGTAGTGACCAGTGGAGTTCAGTCAGGTCAGTTGTGAGATAGTAACTCATTGAAGACAATGGTGGATGTGTCGCTCAATTTCGTGGATCAGATGAAGTTAGACATTAACACCGTTGGATATCGGCCTGCTCAGTGGTCTAGTGGTTAAGTGCTCGCGCGCGAAACCAGTAGGTGCTGTGTTCGAATCTCACAGGGGATGAGGTCGTGTATGTGCGCTGCTGAGGAGTCCCATAATAAGACGAAACGGCCATCTCAGTGCTTCCAGGTTTTCCATGGTGGTCTAGCTTTAACTGACTCATGATCTTAACAATTGAAATTACTACAATCTCCACAAAACCCCTTCCAAGAAACATTTATCAAATTAAAACGTTTCTACATAATACCGTTATGGATCTGTTGTGTTCATGTTAGATTCTCATCTTATATTTAGAACCTCTACTTTTTAATCGTTTGCCAGATATCTGCGAACTATATATATATATCTATATATATATCTATATATATATATATATATATATATATATATATATATAGAGAGAGAGAGAGAGAGAGAGAGAGAGAGAGAGAGAGTTATATATAGTTATATGGAAAATGTATGTCTATTGGAGGATAGAAAAAAAATTACATCACCAAAATGGATTCGAGGATAAATAACAAATTGGGTTACGTACTAATCAAGGGGTAAGGAAGAACAGTGTATCTAAATGTGCATGGAGGACAGTTGACAAATTCGTTCGAAGTAAAGACCAGTGTCAGGCAAGGTTGATTACTCTAAACCTTTTTCTTTCTCTTGATCGTGATAGACCGGATCATGAAAATGTCAACATCTGAAGGGAAGCATGGGATACAGTGGACAGCTAGGATGCAGTTAGATGATTTAGACTTCGCAGATGATCTGGCTTTTCTATCGCACACACAACAACAAATGCAGAAGAAAACAACCAGTGTAGCAGCAGCCTGAGCAGCAGCTGTAGGTCTCAATATACACAAAGGAAAAACAAAGATTCTCCGGTGCAACACAACATGCACCAATCCAATCATAATTGACGGAGAAGATTTGAAAGATGTACAAACCTCTACAGATTTGGGCAGCATTATTGATGTGAACACGGTGGATTTGATGCAGATGTGAAGGCGTGGATCGACAAAGTAAGTGCAGCATATTGACAACTGAAGAACATCTCGAACTCAAAACAATTGTCCACAAGTCAACACCAAAGTCAGAATTTTCTATACAAATGTCAAAACTGTTCTACTGTATGGGGCCGAAACATGGAAAACCACGATAGCCATTATCCAGAAGATACAGGTGTTTATTATTAACAGTTGTCTACACAAAATACTTCGGATCCGTTGGCCGGACACTATTAGACATTGACAACCTAATGTGGGACAGAACAAATCACATCCCAGTGGAGGAACAAAATCAGGAAGAAGCGCTGAAAGTGGATAGGATACACATTGAGGAAAGCACCGAACTGCATCACAAGCCAAGCCCTCACATGAAATCCTCAAGGCCAAAGAGAGTGAAGAGGAAGACCAAAGAACACATTACGCCGATAAATGCGGATAGACATAAGAAAAATGAAGAAGAATTGAATGGAACTAGATTGGAAGGCTGAAGACAGAGTGTGCTAGAGCATATTGGTCAGTGACCTATGCTCCATTGTGAGTAACAGACATAAGTAAGTATCTAAATGTTTAATTTCTGTTTTCCAAAAAAAAAAATTATTTGATTAGTTGTAAATCGTTTTTATATACAATCTAGTTATTTCAATTTAATGAACGCTAAATTTTTATGATTTATACACCTCATTAGGTATTTAATCCAACAATTTTGAATGATCCATTATTGACAAACATGATATTAACAATAATATAATTAGACCTTTAGGATAATCAAATTTAACAAATTTCCTACTTATAAGCCTTAACTTTCACTTGGAATATGAAAACAAGAGGTAAGTGATTGTGAAATTTCTATGAAAAAGAAGGCCCCCAAATGCCCTGGTACGGCCGAGAATGGGGAGAGTCCGCTCTCCCTCTCGAAATGCTCTCACATGGCCATGCGTATATAGCCTCTGCCAGGGAAGTCCTACTCATTGCCTTCAAGTGGCGGGGGTGTTGTTTACAAAAGTGAGAGGACGAAAAGCGAATGTCCGGCACTGGCTTTAACCGGATCCCAAACCAATGGTGCACATGGACTCCAGTATCCTGAAGGAACAAATGGCGTATGAACCAATCGTTGGTCACCGGCTAGTATGGGACTGCATCTCCTCACGATGCTCCACTGCCTTGTGAATCAGACGTTCAGGTCGAAGGCTCGGGGTGTGGACCCCTAAGAAAACCACCTGCTTCGGTTTGGCCACCTGGGGCAGTATCACAGCCCTTACACAAATCAATTGAGATTTGTGTGGCGCATATGTATTTGGTGCCTCCCTGTACCTATACTTATGTGTTAAAATAAATAAATAAATAAATGAAACAGAAGGTATCACATCTACTTATCTCGTATTATAATACCTTTGATGACGTTTCTTTGATCTTTATCTAAGAATCTATACCATATATAGCTAAGTTAAGTATAACTGACTTAAGAATTCTTAAATGTTTTTATATATAGTCCATTTAAATTCACAGAATTAACTGATTAAAATGTAAGGATAAAACTTCTGAAACTGTCAAATGGATATTAAGAATAACTATATATCGATAGATTATTAAAAACTTGAAACTAATCAAGTTCAATCTAAACAAGCTAAAAGTATATCCAATATAGTGTAACTTGATATGTAGAGTGAAAAGAATACCATTAATTGTAACCATCAGATCTTCAAGTCGAAGGCTCAGGGTATGGTCCCCTAAGAAAACCACCTGCTTCGGTTTGGCCACACGGGGCAGTATCACAGCTCTCATACATATCAAATGAGATCTGTGTGGCGCATATGTATTTGGTGCCTTCTTGTACTGATATTTATGTGTTAAAATTAAATAAATAAAATAACCATCTTACTTCATATAATAAACAATGAATTAATCTATTCTAAATCAAATTCTGATAAGTATTTCTTATCTAATGTAATAGTTTTAGTAAATATATAGTCATTTGTATGACGTGTTGTGAAGATTGTAATATTTATGATATAACGAAAAGAAAAATCAATATTCAATTGAATTACTATGATAATTAGAAGTAATTGAATTATAGTATGAACTAATAATCCCAGAACTAACTCAATTGAATCAAGAAGTACTACACAATCACTAACGAATGTACTGTATTTAGAATTCAAAATGAAACATTCAACAAGTACAAAGGAATCATTAGTTCATTCAAACACCACATCCGCCACAGCTTAAATTAGAGTCTAAGTGTCTGTAATCAATTGAACATCTTCTTTTTCAAGTTCATACTGTCTCTGTCCGACAATGTATTGGATAAAGACTCTGTATTATCTAGAATACACTCATTAGTATTAGAATTAACAACCGAAATTGGAACAGATTCATTTGCTTCCTGGGATTGTATACATTCATCATGTCAGTTGAGTACTGAAACTACTGCTACCTAGAATTTGACCTATAGACATTCAGACTATCCTCCCTCCCACCCCACGAAATAATGTCGGATCTTCATATCCCCAAGTTATGAATAAAGTGGCTTCAAATAAAACATCTTTCTCACATTGATTAGAGTAAGCATTGGAAGTGAATTTATGATAAGGACAAACAACAGTTGATATGGAATTATCTGAATTGTAATCAAACTCTAACTCATTTAATACTCGTGCTTCGCATTGAAGAAGTTTCTCACAAGAAACAAATGAATGATGGGAACAAATAATATTCGATTCTTCTGAAATAGTTTCCTCAAATTTATTAAGAATGTCATAGCAGAGGAAAGGATCATTAGAAAAATCAGCATCAATCAAAACTACATCAGGTTTTCGATCATGATTAGGTTCATCCAAAATATTCCCCTCAGATTTGTAAGAAATCTCATCAGTAATATGTGAATCATTAGGAAAAATCATATCTGGTACACTAACATGAGAAATCTAATAGGTTGATTCATTGGAAATTGTTGTTTCACAAGTATGCTGAGTTTCATTTAACTCTGAACTGTTATATGACTCTAAACTGTCTTTTGAAATCATTGATAAAGAGAAATGATCATTATAAATACTCAACTTATTAGGATCAGAATTACAAACTGACTGAATATGTCCAACATCACCACATTTAAAGCACTTAGAACTATGAAATTTACATGAATTGAAAGAGTGGAACTGCCACAGCACAAACATTGACCAAACTTGTGCCCATCTTCGTGAAATGCATTGCAACTCCTCAATGAATTATCAGCACAATCTTGAGTATGCATTGGGTTGGGGTGACATAATGTAGTGGAGCTTTTTACATCCTTATCAATCATTTTACGAAATCTTCCTCCTTTACCGCATTCAAAATTTGTATACTTAACACAGTCTAGAAGTAGTTCCTTGAGAGTTGTATAAGGAAGCGAAATGGGCTTTTCTGGTAAAGCCAGAATTTTGAATAAGCTATATACTTCTTTTCTGATGAATGTGAGGAAATGTGCTACAATAATAACATCCTCATCATCTTTCTTGGTCGTGCTCCAGATTTCAAACCTTTCCAAATAATCTTCAAAAGCTTCAGAAATTGAATGAATATCTAACTGTTCTATCGCAGGCCCCATCGCGACGCCAATATGATAATTAGAAGTAATTGAATTATAGTATGAACTAATAATCCCAGGGATAACGCAATTGAATCAAGAAGTACTACACAATCACTAACGAATGTACTGTATTTAGAATTCAAAATCAAACATTCAACAAGTACAAAGGAGTCATTAGTTCAATCAAACACCACAATTACTCATTATGATTCAGTTTTGTTTAATATTATTTCTGTTTTGATTCAGTTTCGTTTTCTCGTATGATACTTTTTCTGTATAATATCTGATGAACTTGAATTCAATTGACATTGTAGTGAACAGAACGCAGATGGAAAGCAATCGTATGTATTTAGGCACATAATTACAGAGCATCTCCATAAAATCTGACAACCATTCATTGAATTGTTCATTTTGCAAAATATCAATTCATCATATCAAACAAACTGGACTGTTCCTGTTGCAAATATCAATCCATTGTATCAGATTTCATTGTTCATGCTTTTTCACACGAATTGCATTGTGTTTCTGCTCTTTCTTTCTTGATCTTCTTCTGCCAGACATTACGTTCATGAATAACATCATATACTACTTATGTCTACATGAGTAGCACACACCACAACATAAACTACTCAAAGCATATGATTTGTTATAACTTTAAGTATTTTTTATACATGTGATATCATCCTAATTGTTAATCAAAATAGATGTAGGAATCTATATATAAATGAGTGTATTTTCGACTAGGGTCGTCATCGTCATCATCATCATCATCATCGTCGTCATCATCATCATCATCATCATCATCATCATCATCATCATCATCATCATCATCATCATCATCATCATCATCATCATCATCATCATCATCATCATCATCATCATCATCATCATCATCATCATCATCATCATCATCATCATCATCATCATCATCATCATCATCATCATCATCATCATCATCATCATCATCATCATCATCATCATCATCATCATCATCATCATCATCATCATCATCATCATCATCATCATCATCATCATCATCATCATCATCATCATCATCATCATCATCATCATCATCATCATCATCATCATCATCATCATCATCATCATCATCATCATCATCATCATCATCATCATCATCATCATCATCATCATCATCATCATCATCATCATCATCATCATCATCATCATCATCATCTCATCATCATCATCATCATCATCATCATCATCATCATCATCATCATCATCATCATCATCATCATCATCATCATCATAGTGTTTTGGGGCTAATAAATCTTCACTTATACCCGTCTTTGTGTTCTTCCATTTCATATCGTTGGAACTGCGGAGGTCCCTTCGTTTCGAGTATAAGTGATAAGCAAGGAAAGGGCCGCATTCCTTCAATTGAAGTACATATGGAACTCAAAACAACTGTCTGTCAACCAATATCACAGTCACAATCTTCAATACGAACGTCAAGACAGTCAGTTCTACTGTACGGAGCTGAAACATGGAGAACTACAACAACCACCATCATCAAGAAGGTACAAGTATTTATCAATAGCTGCCTACTCAAGATGCTCAACATTCATTAACCGGATGCCATCAGTAACAGCTTTCTGTGGGAGAGAACCAACCAGCTTCCATCTGAAGAGGAAATTAGGAAGAGACGATGGAAATGGATAATTTATACATTGAGGAAATCATCAAACTGAATCACGAGACAATTGCTAACTTGGAATCCCGAAGGGAATTGGAAAAGTGGAAGGTCAAGGAATACATTACTTCGGGAAATAGAAGCGGATATGAAAAGGATGAATAAGAACTGGAAAGAGGTGGAAAGGCTTGGTTGGGACAGGGTTGTATGGAGACTGCTGATAAGCGGCCTATGCTCCTTCGCGAGGAGTAACAGGCGTAAGTAAGTGAGTAAGTAATTCATTTGATAGTTATGGTATGTTTGTTCGATAATATTCATGCAAAATATATTTGTGATCGTCATTAAACATCAAGCTATTGAAATTGTATTTCATTTATAACCCACCAAATGCCCTGGTACTGCCGAGAGTGGGGAGAGTAAGACCGTTCTATTGATACGTTTGTAAATGGTGAACAAATATCATGATCTTTTAAGAGTCCACAATTCAAATATCCCCTTATAACCTGTAATGTTAACGGCAAATCCCCCACATCATAATTTGTCTCGATGATTAACGAAACTGAAACGGCAACTCGTACTTCAAAAGACACTTCAATTCTCTGTAGAAATTGACCATGTGCATTCATTAGATAAAATTCAAATATTATTTGACGTAATATAATACCATCCCGAATTAATTTCTTTGCCCGAAAATGCATTGGAAAAATTACTACTACTATTACTAGTAAGAAAACGGGTACAATCGAATTCAATAAAAATTTATACAGACGCTAGAGTCTATTTTGGCCAATGGCCAGTGGGGAGAGTCTGCTCTCCCTCTCGAAATGCTCTCACATGGCCACGCGTATATAGCCCCTGCCAGGGAAGTCCTACTCACTGCCGTCTCGTGGCGGGGGTGTTGTTTACAAAAATGAGAGGACGAAAAGCGAATGTCCGGCACTGGCTTTAACCGGATCCCAAACCAATGGTGCACATGGACTCCAGTATCCTGAAGGAACAAATGGTGTATGAACCAATCGTTGGTCACCGGCTAGTATGGGACTGCATCTCCTCACGATGCTCCACTGCCTTGTGAATCAGATGTTCAGGTCGAAGGCTCGGGGTGTTGCCCTCTTTGAAAACCACCTGCTTCGGTTTGGGAACCCGGGCAGTATCACAGCCCTCACACAAATCAATTGAGATTCGTGTGGCGCATATGTATTTGGTGCCTCCCTGTACCTATACTTACGTGTTAAAATAAATAAATAAATAAATAAATAATCATTTATAACTTTGATATACAATTACAAGTAGTACTTATAGAACTTCAAGTAGATATTAAGACACATTACTATTTTCAATCGATTCATTATCTAGTTTAAATTGATCCGTAGTTTCAACTGTGAAAATTGTTATAATTTGTCAATTGAATGTTACTTGTTATATTTGGTCGTCACTGATTGTTATGTCGGAAACGCTTATCACTTATACTCGAAACGAAGGGATCTCCGCAATTCCAACAATATGAAATGTAAGAACACAAAGATGGGTATAAGTGAAGATTTATTAGCCCCAAAACACTATGATGATGATGATGATGATGATGATAATGATGATTGATGATGATGATGATGATGATGATGATGATGATGATGATGATGATGATGATGATGATGATGATCTGGATGATGATGATGATGATCTGGATGATGATGATGATGATGATGATGATCTGGATGATGATGATGATGATGATGATGATGATGATCTGGATGATGATGATGATGATCTGGATGATGATGATGATGATGATCTGGATGATGATGATGATGATGATGATCTGGATGATGATGATGATGATGATGATCTGGATGATGATGATGATGATGATGATGATGATGATGATGATGATCTGGATGATGATGATGATGATGATGATCTGGATGATGATGATGATGATGATGATCTGGATGATGATGATGATGATCTGGATGATGATGATGATGATCTGGATGATGATGATGATGATCTGGATGATGATGATGATGATGATGATGATGACCCTGGTCGAAAATACACTCATTTATATATAGATTCCTACATCTATTTTGATTAACAATTAGGATGATATCACATATATGAAAAATACTTAAAGTTATAACAAATCATATGCTTTAAGTAGTTCATGTCAATTGAGTACGAGAATATCGGATGTTATATACAGAATAAAATATGATATGGGAAAACAAAACCGAATACCACACTGAGTAATCATCACATTGAATCAAAATAGATGTAATATTGAATAAAACTCATAATGAGTAAATCAATTGAATCTTGACTATTCTTTCCATCATATCATAAATACATAAATATTCAAAAATGTAGAATATATGAGCGAACAATTGTTTTCAATAACTTCATCATCATCATCATCAGACATTACAGGGATAAGTTCATAATTATTGTAATATTTTACAAACCTCTTCAATAGAAAATAAATTTGGTTAAATATCTTAACCATAGAATCAAGTTATCATGTTTTAAAAACAGTATGGATATTGAAATAGTTATACTAAAGAACATAATACGAAATAATGGTTACCCAGATAAGTTCGTTCAAGAAATACCTTGTAGAAAGTACCAAAAACAAAAGAGAAGAAATTGTGACACAATCAGTAAAAAGACTTTATATCTGGGATTAGACTTTAAAAGGGACATATCGGGTAATATTTTAACACTTCGACTTGAAAGATCTGTTGAAAGAAGAATGTTTCACGGCACCAAGTTAAATATAATTTTCTCAATTAAACCAATACTCATACAACTAATCAAGGATAGGTTAACGAAGATGGACTCCTCCATCTGTGTATACCAATTCAACTGCTCCTGTGGAGCTAGTTACATAGGCTGTACTCAGAGGGCTTTATCCTTGTGTGTTCGTGAACATGTACCAAATCGATTAACAGCACCATTCTTTCTCATTTGGTAGATAGTGAATATCATATCAAAATAGCGGAAGCTTTCTTTGATTTAAATCAAGGTCCAAAATATCTACCCCAAGGAGCTAGATTACGACTGCTTTACATAGCCGAAGCCATCTGAATCAACTCCAGAAAACCAAACTTATGTATTCAGAAAATATATATCCAGCCTCTATGTTTACCTTGGCCCACGACTGAATCACAGAATACCTAAACTGAATATTATAAACATCTTACCCCCTCTCCTTATTTTTTGATGACCTCTATCTTAATCTTTACATCCATCATTCCCAATTCTTTTATCATAATCACCTTGATAACACCCCCACCCTCCTTATTACATATTATATTCACACAACAATCTGATTATTATCTCAATTTCACTGGTTGAAATCATGAATCCATTGAAGCTAGACCACCATGGAAAACCTGGAAGCACTGGACGGCCGTTTCGTCCTAGTATGGGACTCCTCAGCAGTGCGCATCCACGATCCCGCTCCCCCCCTCAGCGAGATTCGAACCCAGGACCTATCAGTCTCGCGCCAGGCGCTTAACCAACTAGACCACTGAGCCGGCATCCAACGGTGTTAATGTGTAACTTCAACCAATCCACGAAGTTGCGCCACCGTACACCATTGTCTTCAGTAAGCTGATATCTCACAACAGACCTGGTTGAACTCCACTGGTAACGGCTTCTCACTAGAACTTCAGGAGTATCTCTTGAAGTCAGTCACTAGTGAGCAGATGATTATTATTATCAGAAGGGATTGTGTGGAGATTTTAGAAATTTCACTGGTTGAAATCATGAATCCATTGAAGCTAGACCACCATGGAAAACCTGGAAGCACTGGACGGCCGTTTCGTCATAGTATGGGACTAGATGAAATTCTCCTACTATGCACTTTATTCACACAATTTTGGTTTTCGCATTTTCAGTTTTGCTATAATACTGTTCTACTTAGTGTAACTGAACCCTTTACTCCAAATCATCCTGACCTTTATTGAATGACCTTTCTCATTTGCAAATAATACAATTTTGAAGTATATATATACAAGTAGTAACAGATGTAAACGTGCACCATTTTTTACACATAACATTGTCAAATTTATTAATACATGGTCGGTAGCATTCGATCTGCACTAATAATAAGGACTAGACAAGCATGACATTGATCACCACCCAGTGATCAATCAATTGTGATTACATCTCAGTTCTACAGAAGGTCGGTCGTGCCCCGGATAGCTCAGTGGTAACGTCTTTGACTGTGAAGCTGGATGACACAAGATCGAATCCATCAGGGAACATCAGTTCCCTCAAAGATTACAGGTACACCCTGCTGATGTGTGCCAAGTAGCAGGAAACCCGTGTCTAGGGTTTCCTGTCGACTACCTCCAACCACCATCTAAAATTAATACATTGCCTTAATTTGGTCTATGTAATATGTCACAATAATTATGGACTGATAACTGTAGACCCCATCATGATGATGATGATTATGATGATGATTAGCATATTGAAAACAATTATTTCGTCAAATATTCTTCATTTTTGAATATATTCTGTGGGAATTTTGAAACTACATAAATATCCAATAGAAAGTTTCATGTTTTGTATGCTAATCCACCAAATTAGTTTTCCATTAATAATTGAGATTATGAGTTAATTGAAGCTAGATCATCATGAAAAACCTGAAAGCACTGGACAACCGTTTTGTTCTATTGTGGGTCGACGAGACTCTAATTTATGGATGAGCCAATTAGAAGCGTTTTAGAGATTTCAAGGTTACCGTGCCAACTCCAGTGTTTAATGATAACCTACAATCGGTTTACAGCGAATTTTGTACAAAACGTGATAATTATGCAGCTATAACAAATAAAACGGCGAGACTATAATTTATGAACGAATCAATCAGGTATAAGATAACAGATCTCGAATATTAACGCGAAAGCCTTTCATCCATTTGGCTAGATAGATTTCTGGCATTATAGCTGATGTCAGTTCGTGATGAAAACCTCATATATACTTCCTAACTAAGGCAAACTAAGACAATTATCGCGAACTGGATAATAAAAGCAACAGTAACACTGACTGCAGACAAGTACTACAATATATACGGATGATTGGAGAGCGTACAGACTCCTACATAGGCTTGGTTATGTTGAGTACACAATCAGCAAACAATCAGTATAGAGTAAAAATATATTATATAAAACCAAAGAAATAAAATGGATACACTCTTTATGCGTGGTTCAAAAACTTGTCAATGTTAGAAAGAGGTTCAGAGATTCTAAAATCGTAATGCATGAAGTAGAGGAAATCATCCATACGGCTACAGAATAGTCGGCCTCTGGAGCCATGATAAGATCGCAAAAACTCTTTCAGCCTCAACCACATAGTTTCAATATTGTTTATGTACACTCCAGTTGTTGAGTACACAAAATGCCATTTGTGGACAACGACACGATACACATAACCAAGTCTATGTAGGAGTCTGAACGCTCTCCAATCATCCGTATACATTGCAGTACCTGGCTGCAGCTAGTGTTACTGTTGCTTTTATTATCCAGTTCACAATAATTGTCATAATTTGCCTTAGTTAGGAATTATGTATGGGATTTTCATCACGAACCGACATCAGCTATAATGCCAGAAATCTATCTAACCAAATGGATGAAATGCTTTCGCGCTAAAATTCGAGATCTGTTATTTTATATCTGATTGGTTCGTGCACAAATTATAGTCTCGCCGTTTTGTTTCTACAAAATTCTCTGTAAACCGATCGTACGTTATCGTGAAGCACTGAAGTTGGCACCGTAACCTTGAAATCTCTCAAACGCTTCTGATTGGCTCGTTCATAAATTAGAGTCTCGCCAACGTATCAACTAATATATCATCTGTATAGATGGTAACAAACTACATTGAATTCATCGTATTCTATAAACATCATTATTGTCTGCTTTGTTCACATTTTTTTGAAATGAACAAAATTCTATGAATTAAAATAACTAAGATCAATATTTTCCATTAATTTTTCTCATTGAAACTGTTGAAATAGAACTAAACGCCTCTTTACTATTAAGATGACGTTGAAATTTCTTTGAAGTTGGCAACAAATCACCTAGTAACATATAAGTCTGTGTGGATCAAACAAAAATTCCAGATGATCATTTCAAAGTATAAAGAATATCTATTATATACATGATCATAATCTTCAATACGAACGTCAAGGCAGTTCTACTGTACGGAGCTGAAACTTGGAGAACTACAACAACCATCATCAAGAAGGTACAGATATTTATTAATAGCTGTCTACGCATGATACTCAACATCCATTGGCCGGATACCATCAGCAACAGCCTTCGGTGGGAGAGAACCAACCAGCTTTCAGCTGAAGAGGAAATTAGGAAAAGACGATGGAAATGGATAGGACATACATTGAGGAAATCATCAAACTGCATTACGAGACAAGCGCTAACTTGGAATCCTGAAGGGAAGTGAAAATGTTGAAGGCGAAAGAACACATTACGTCGGGAAATAGAAGCAGATATGAAAAAGATGAATAAGAACTGTAAAGAGGTGGAAAGGATTGGTTGGGACAGGGTTGTATGGAGAATGCTGGTGATTGGCCTATGCTCCTTCACGAGGAGTAACAGGCGTAAGTAAGTAAGTAAGTAACATGATCATAATACGTATTGTGAATAGATTTATCACAGATGTATACAATACTCTTTATAATCAGAAAGAGTTTTGTGAAGATTGTTGTGATTTCAATAATTGAGATCATGAGTCAATTAAAGCTAGACTACCACCATAGAAAACCTGAAAACATTGTCCAGTTGACCATTTCGTCCTATTGTGAAACTCTTCAGCAATGCTTATCTACGATCTCAATTTAAAAGATTCAAATTCATCTTTTTTTCATAATAGTCTACTTTCACTTAACTTATTCTCTTCAACAATTAAATGACTATAATTTCCATAAAAAAAACCTCATTCCATAATTATTAATTTATTCAGTTATTTATTATTAGTTATTCTATTGATTATTTAATTGGTCTTAGATACTAAATTCATTTTCCCTAAAGATATTCTTTAAATATCTTTATCTTTATTTTCATTTCTCTATAATAA